TACTGCTTTGTGTATAAAGCTAGGTAGGGTTGCCAGGTGTCCAGCATTGGCCCGGACAATCTGTTATTTGTGGCCTCTGTCCGGTAAAAAAACCAGAAAATATATTTTTTGTTTTTCTCAAATGGAAGGCTGCTTGGGACATTCCTCCTCTGCTGCCTCGGGCAGGGACAGCGGGAGTGGAAAGCGTGGGGACTTAAAGGCACAGTGACACTTTTTTGTGGGGGTGGCTTTTGGGTGGGTTTTTTTTTTTTTTGTCTCTATCAAATTTTTTCCTGCCATGTTGGGTATTTTTTGTGAAAGTATCTGGCAACCCTAAAGATAGGTTGCCTTAACTACACTGATTTCTTAATTACTTTACCATGTAATATGGATGAATGGGGGGGTAAAAACCTACTTTGGGGCTCAATCCTTTGTATTTAAGACAATGAGGCTATGTCTAGACTGCAAGCCTCTTTAGAAAAAGAGCGTCTAGACTACAATCAGTACTTTCGAAAAATCAAACTGCTTTTTCAAAAGAGAGCTCCCAGGTAGTCTAGATACTCTCTTTCAAAAAAGCACAGTTTGCATTACATAGCGCATTGTTTTGAAAAAGCACTTTCAAAAAAAGGTGTTATACCTCATAAAATGAGGTTTTCAGCAGTTGAAAAAACTGCCGCATTCTTTCGATTTACTTTCGAAAGACTGCAGCAGCAGTTTAGACACAGGGGAAAGGTTGGGTTTGGGGGGGGGGATTTCGAAAAAAGGCCACTTTTTTTGAAAAAACCCTGTAGTCTAGACACACCCTGAGTGTTTTCCCCTTAACTTCAATGGGAGCAAGTATTGACCATATATGATTATTTGTATAAAATAAAAGAAATTGGAAAACAAAACTGTTCCAACATATCACGTTAGATTACTCTCAGAAATCCCATGAATGAAAATGAATACTGTTCAAGATACATGAAGTCTGTACCCACTCAAAATGGCTCAGAAAATAGATGTGTCTTATTAACAAAGATTCTAAAAAAATACAAAAAATGAAATCAAGGTTATAGGTACAATTTTGGGTCAGCCAGGCATCAGCAGAGTCACAGACCTCATGATCAACAGTTGTCAGGATTTGTCAAAGCCCAGAAGTGGTAATGTTCCACACACTATGGCTACATCTATACTCTGCAGTAACTCAACAACATGATAACAACAGCAATGTTATCATGTAGCTGGAGTTGAATACTATAGGTCGACCTACTACGGTAGTGTGGACCTACCCTCATTCCTGTGCCCCTGTCCTATCTAAAGCTTCTTGTAAAGGATACAACAGACTGAAATAACCTCACTGTGTTGAATTCAGGGATAAAAGTTTTTCCTCTTCAGTAATTCTTGCAACCGTATAGAATTATTTTGCTCTAGAATATAATTTAAAAAGGATTTTCTCCATACAACTTCAGGGAAGACTTTTCGGAAGCGCTGATTGTTGACCTAAGTTCACTTCCATTGAAATCAGCTTCTAGGAGCAGTGTTAGACCAATGCGGAGTCTACCCTCATAAAAGCCCGCCCTCATCATTTTCCATTAGCTTTTCAACTTTCAAAAGCTTTCTGTTAGGTGCATGTGTATGTTCACCTTGGATACATGCTCAGTTAGTGGAAAAGGTGCTAAAATAGGCAGGTTGCATTGCTAAACATACTGCAATTGATATAGAAAATAACTTGTAGTCCACAGGGTGGATCATATCTGTTAATGATCAAACAAGGGTAAAAACAATGCACTTGGACATCGGAGCCAGGAGGGGAGTTGAAACTGAGAAAAGAAATACGGTGGAGGGGAAGACTCGTTTTCAATTAGGACTCTGTATTTTGACACTTTTTTTTGCCAGGGTGCCTTTCCCTGAAAAAGTTCAAATTATTTCATAAATAGTAATGAATTATCTGTGTCACTAGGTACTTATATGGGCCTCCTCCCTAGTTTAAATGGACACTTCTCAAATAATTGCCTAAACAGAACAAATTCAGAAACAGAATTTCTCCTCCTTCACTGCCTGCAAGAGAAAACTGGAATAAGACATTTAATTTAAAATTAGTTATAAATGTAAAAAGTAAGGCTGTGCTGGCATGTGAAGAATTATTGACAGAAAAGGAGCTTGAGGAACTGGATTTTGTAACGCGTTCATGAGAAGAAGGATCATGCAGTAGTTATGGTGCTAACTGAGGATTTAAGAGGCTAAGAGTCAATTCCCTGCTCAGCCACAGATTTCGTATATGACCTCCCAGCAGTCCCTCAGGATGGGATCCACAAAGGGAATTAAGCATTACAGCATTGAGCATCATGGTGCTTTAGAAAATCACTGGAACAACTTCGATCCAGACAAAGCAGAGTTAGGCACCTACACTCCCTAGACAATGAACGAGGAGAGATAAGTACCCTCAGGCTTGTCTCCCCTACTGGAAGGATCAACGCTGTGGAGATCAATCCACTCGGGGTCAATTTATTAATCACTTTCCTCTTGACTCCAGTACTCCATCTGAATGAGAAGAGCGAGAGGAATTAATGGGAGAGTTTATTCCATCAGAAGCCTTAGTATTTCTGGGCCTCAGTTCTCTAGCTATACAAATAGGAATAGCAGCACTGCCCTGCCTCACAGGAGAAATATGTGAAAGACTGTGAGGTTGTCAGATCCTACAGCAATGTATTCCATTTAAGTACCAGAGTTGTGAAGGCCTGCAGCTTGCTCTTATTTCCAGTGTGAGTTTGATGTCCATGTTATGAACAACAGAGCATTCCCATTCTTATGCGGGGGAAATTATGAAAAAACCTCTTTACGTTTTTTCCTTCTGAAATGTTCTGTGTAAATACTCCAGTTTGTAATGAACAACTGAATTATTATTTTTCACCAAACAGAAAATTTCAAATGGAATGAAGAATTTTCTGGGGAAAAAAAATGTTTTTAAAGAGCTATTCCTCATCCCCCCTCAAAAAATCCCTATGATGAAAATTTTCAAACCTCTCTATCCCACATTCAGAAGCCTTGTTGTATCAGTCAGCATGCTAAGTTTCATTTTTCTAGTGATGCATGCCAGTTGTGGGAGGCCTGGTCACAGAAGATGAGTCAGCCTCTCAGGCAGAGCCCATCCCAAATTCAGATTGGAATATTAGGGCAGAGACCTTGCATTGGACGCTGTAGTTAGTGAAGAGAGGTGCCCCCAGCCTAAATAACTACTGTCATTTGTGTGACACGTAGTCCATTCTCGATGCATGGTTTTTTCCTCACAGCATCCCTTATGTGTCAGGTTATAGAGAGTGCACTGGCAAAGTTAATTCTGGTTTATGAACTTGTGCAGGTTTCAAAGATGTTCCCAGAATTTCTAAAATGGGAAATACTACTAAAAATATCTCTAGACATTTTTAACACAACTCACATGAATTAGTAATACCCCCATTATAAGTTCTCCCACTCAGCATATTATTACACACATTTTAACAGATGATGAAACCAAGGCGAACAGGAGGAGAATGACATGCTGAAGTGAGCCATGTGTAGCTTTGGGTGTGTCTACACTGCACCGTCTTTTCCGGAATAACGGCCGTTATTCTGGAAAAACAATACTAGCATCCACATTGCAATTGCATTATTTCAACAAAAAGTCAAAATAATGGATGGCCTTTTCCGATGGCAGTAAACCTCATTCCACGAGGAATAAGCCCTTTTTCTAAAAAGCTTTTTCAGAAGAGGGCGTGTGTAGACACTTCACTGCTGCTATGTCAAAACAGCTCCTCACCAGGGCCATTCTAAAGTTATTCCTCCCCAGTGCTTCCTGGGGCTCTGAGTCAAGATAGCACATCCACATTAGGAGAACCTCCTTTGGACTAATTTTGAGGCTTCCCTGTATTGTGGACACTCTATTTCAAAATAAGTTTTTCTAGAAGATATCCTCTGGAAAAGCATACTCCAAAAGAAGCTCGCAGTGTAGATATACCCTTGTATCTAATACCCAGCTCTCTTGCTCCCTTATCCTGTATTTTAACCATTGAACCAGGTTCATTTTCATGGTGTTTTGTTGTTGGGGTTGGGTTTTGTTTGTTTGTTTGTTTGTTTGTGATGGGGGGGTTGAAGTAGGAATAAGATCCTCCGGAAAAGGGCTTTTTTTCCGGAGGATCGGGGCCAGTGTAGACGCTCTTTTCCAGCTTTTCTAAAAGCCGGAAAAAAGCGGCGGACATTTTTATTTAAATGCCGCGGGGGATATTTAAATCCCCTGTGGATTTCCCTATTACGACCTGTGAAATTAACATGCCCCTTTCGGAAAAGGGACCAGTGTAGACGTAGCAAAACTGTCTGTTAGTGACCTAAGGAGTGTTTCCCAGGAGGAAATTTTAATTTGGTTGTCCAAACAGAAGGTGTTTAACCTCTTGCTAGCTCTCACACAATGACAGTGCTTTCCAGTTGCTAAGTTTTTACAACCAATTTAGAACTGGTGAAAGGTCTTAAATTAATAGTATAGAACTCTGAACTCTTCTGTTCTATAGGAAAGGGATCACATTGTGCATGCTTCTACCACTACGCTTTCGCGCTGATCTGGAGGAGTTACCACGTGCAAAAGGGATATAGTTTAGTCTCTCTGGCTTCAGGTTCCATGGCTTCTCTGATTTGAGACAACTAACAAAGGGGATGGTTAGAGCTAATTGTGTCAGTAGTTATTGTTATATGGGTACTTGTCTGTGTGAAACAAGACTGAGACCAGCCTCTCATTTCACATAGGCTGTGGACTGGGAACAACTTTCAGTCATTATTGATCTGAGATATTCCGACTAGCGATAAAAGCTTCTGTAGCCCATAACAATTTATATAAATAAGCCAGGAGAGATCCAGCCCTTTACTTCAGGATGCTGCCATCTTGCTTCATCCTAAGAGCATCAAAGTCTGAGAAATGAGGCCATAAGTGGGGTTCACTGCACACTGATCTGAAAGCTCTCAAAATTCATCCCTGTTAGAAGTATTTGAATGGTGTTTTCTGATTCTCTTCACAGACTGCAGACTGCTTTGGGATTACGTCTATCAGCTGCTTTCTGACAGCCGGTACGAAAACTTCATCCGATGGGAGGACAAAGAATCCAAAATATTTCGGATAGTAGATCCCAACGGGCTGGCCCGACTGTGGGGAAACCACAAAGTAAGCAGTGGTGGGGTTTTCCTCCCAGGGAATGTTGCATTCTGGAGTTCATTCAGAAATACTGAAGAGAATAAGAGAAAGTAAAATACTTATGGAAAGGTTTAATCTTTCATTCTATTTATAACAGTTTACATATCTAAAGCATCCAACCTTCAACAGCAGGGATCACAGAAAGCCAGGCATTATATAAAGAGCCTGGTAGTTTGGGAGTAGCAACATTTAGCTAGAAAATGACATGGACACTGGTTGTAATGACTCTGCTTTCTAAAAGTATGTCATTCCTCCTCAGGTTTGATCCCCACTGGGGGCTCAGGCTAGAGCAACAGTTCTCAGACTGTGAGTCAGGACCCCAAAGTGGGTCACAGCTCCATTTCAATGGGATTGCCTAGGCAGACTTAGACTTGCTGGGGCCTAAAGCTGAAGCCCAAACCCCACCACCAGTTGCCAAAGCTGAAGTGTGAGCCCCATGGCCTAGGGTCAAAGTTGAAGCCTGACGGCTTCAGCTCTGGGTGGTGGGGCTCAGTTTACAGGCTCCCTGCCAAGGGCTGAAGCAAGGAATTGTCCTCCTCCCTCTCCCCCTAGGGGCAGGGCTCAGCCAGGCTCAAGCTTCAGACCCCCCTCCTTGGGGTCTGGTAATTTTTGTGGTAAAAGTGGGGGTCACAGTACAATGAAGTTTGAGAACTCCTGGGCTAAAGTGATCTCTGCAAAAGACCAGAGTGTCTGGTATGGGGCTTTCTTAGGAAAACAACAGGGTAACAATTTAATAGAAATCTCTATTTAGGGTCTTGTCTGAGACTGGAGACAGGTCGCCTGTTTTCTCTTTCCAAAGCCTGAGCTGCTTAGCATTCCTTGCTGCGTGGCTAATACAGCTATTGCAGGAGAGGAGTAAATATTGTATTGCAATAAACACAACACACAATAACGTTAGAATCTTCCTTATCTGAGAGAGATTCTGATTTGCTTGCTTTAAAGCCAGCGGCACCAAGCAGGAGAAATCACATTTGCCGTCTGGTGTTGGTGCAGGGCTACATTTCTGTTACGTAGGCTGCACATGTTGATAAGTGACTGGAGATTTGGATGCCTCAGTTTTAGGGGTCCAACTTTGAGACCCCTTTAAAGGAGCCTGATTTTCAAAAAGTGTTGACCCTTCCCACCCCCCTTTTAGGGTTGCCAGGTGTCCAGTTTTCACCCAGACAGTTCAGTATTTTGGCCTTCCGTCTGGTAGGGATGGAAGGCTGGCAGCGAGGGTGGGGGTAATTTAAAGGCTCGGCAGCTTTTTTTTTTTTGCTCAACCAGTTTGCCTGGTCAGGATTTTTTGTGAAGGCATCTGGCAACCCTACACCATTTTTGAAAATCTCGGTCTGCCAACGCAGGGAGGCTGTAAGGAATAACTCCTCTGCTGGTTTGGTGGGAATGTGAGCCTGCTGGCTTCAGACAGGCTTAAGGGAACACACCCCAGCTTCTCCAGGCAGAACACTGCCATTCTTACTCTTTCATTTGCCACAGGAGCCTTCCCTCAGGCATCACCGAGCCAGCCATAGCTCTCACTGGAAGTGGGCAAACAGAAGGAGTCTCATACTCAAGCAGGGGGCCTTTTGGGAAACAAAACCAGAGTGAGGGATCTGGGATCATTTAAGAAAGAGACTGACAGCAGTCGCTGGTGTACAGCATGGAACGGGCAAGCGTAATGCAAGCTTCCCACACACAGCTGTGCCAGCGTATCTTATTTCAAACCTGTGACAGTCTGCCAGTGCAGCTCCTACTTTTCCAGTGAGAGCCCTCTCCTGAGCAGAGATTCCGTGTGTGTGTGTGTGTGTGTGTGTGTGTGTGTGTGTGTGTGTGTGTGGAGAGGGGACGTTGCAGTGTAAACAGATGTACCCATTAATGGAATTATTCCTGATTTACACCAGAAAAAGTGAGAAGAGAAACAGCTGCTAGAGCTTCAAAGTGCTGTGTAAACATGAACTAATTAATAGAGGGGAAGCCCAGAGGAACACCACCTTTAACAGGAAGGAGTGCTGTCACATAAAGTTTATTAGCTGTTTGGAAGCTTTCACAAAAGGCCATTCATTGAAAAGAAGGCACTCTCTTTCATGTTGAAGTCTCTCCTGGTGATGAAGGTCTTGGTTGGGAACAATCCAATGTGGCCTTATTTAAAAATCTTGGTTTTTGGAAGCCTTCCTCATTCAAATCACTCTGAGTGAAAAGAAAAACATAGAAGTGTGTGATGAATTCTGGCTAGGCAGGCTGGACCTATAGACAGCAGAGGAATAGAGGAGGTAGCTTCTTGAACTAGCGTGGGCAGAAGTGTGTGATGAATGCTGGAGAGGCAGGCTGGGCCTATAGACAGCAGAGGAATAAAGGAGGTAGCTTCTTGAACTAGCGTGGGGGTTTCAGCCAGCTGTGGTATTTCTATAGCTGCTCCTGCAACATTAGGAAATGGGTATGTAATTGTCTCTCAATGATTTTTTTTGGAACAAACAGAACAGAACAAATATGACCTATGAGAAAATGTCCAGAGCCCTACGCCACTACTACAAACTAAATATCATCCGGAAGGAGCCAGGACAAAGGCTTTTGTTCAGGTAATCCTTCCTCTTTTTTCTTTCCCCTTCTCCTCCTGAGGTGATTGCTTTTTGATGAGAGCAGGAAGAAGTTTTGAGCAAGCTGTGCCGCTACCAGCAACGTAACACTGGTGTCAATGGAGTTAAAGCTGAGAGAGCCTTCCACATTGAAGGGTCTGCACCTTCCAGGGACTGCGCAACAGTCTGATGTAGTGTTCATTGGAGTCATTGGGAGACTGTCCATTGACGCTGGTGAACATTGCATCATGTGTTAAGCCCTTGGTTACATGCCTCGCGTTTGGTTTCATAGTCTAAGTCTCAGTGGTGGTTGATTAAAACCGAGGTCTCATGATCTCAACACATTGGAAGTTAAGCTACTCCAAACCTCCATCTTCTGATCACTGAATTAGGCTTTGGTGCCCCCTGAACTCTGCTATGGTTTAGAAAAGGGCTACTCAACATGTGGCCCGTGGGCCGCATGCAGCCTATGGCCTGTTTGTCTGCAGCCCACAGTGCAGTTTGGGTTTATGCGGGGCTCAACACACAGCCTGCGAGTGGGAGCCAAAACAAAAAAGTAGTCAATATAATAGTCTTCTGTTGATATGTGCTTTAGTAGTAATTCCTGGACTGTCATTGCTCATTAAAAGTGCTGTCATATGGGTGGAAATCAGGTAAATACTGCATTTTATGAATATCAGCAGAACTGACTTAAACGCATGTTGTGGAGTCTTGCCCTAATCCAATGGTTCCCAAACTTTTTGGCATCACGCCCCCCTTTTTGATTTTTGAAAAACCCTCATGCCCCTCCCCCCTCCCCCCAAATAGCAGCAAAACTTGTTGAGCAAAAAAAAAGGAAAAAGGGAACTGAACAGGGCAGCAAAACTTGATGGGGGTAGGGGGGAGGCTGAGTCACTTCGCACCCCCTCTGGAATTTCCCAGTTTGGGAACCCATGCCCTAATCTTTGTATTCATGCCCATCAGTGTGAAAGAATCCATTTGCATATATTTTCATTTATATTTGCATGTATATGCAGCCACACTTAAATTGCAGCCCTCGGCATGTGCTGTAAGGATCATTGTGGCCCCCAGGGCTTCCAAAGTTGAGTTACCCTGGTATACAACATATACTGTGGACTGGGAGATGTGCAGCAGAATGGAGTGGGAGATCCAACACAGAGGTTTATAATGAACAGAGGAAGAGGAATGTCAGGGGGTCATTCACAAAACCAAAAGTACCAGTACTGGCAGAACACCCCACTGTTTGGGACCTACTGCTAGAGGTAGTGGGCAGCAGATACAGAGTGCGTATGTCAGTAATGTGTCACTATCTAGAAGCAGCTCTACATCTATTGAGGCAGGATCATTGGAAAGTGATCCTACTTTAGAGCCTGATACAAATCACCCTGAAGCTATTAGGAGTTTCTCCATTGACATCAGTGGATCTGTTCCTCATTTTAACTGGCAGGCAGGGTTTTGTTTGGAACTTTTTCACGTGATATGAAAAAGAAATAACTAGAGCCAGTCAAAATATTTACACTGAAAACTATTTTTGGTGGAAAATGGTATTTTCAGTGGAATGTTTTTGTTTTGATCGTTTTTTTACATAAAGGACAAAGGGAGATTAAAGGGGGAAATCCATTTTGTCATTTCAGTTGTTGCTAAGAAATGGAAAAGTAGGAAGTGAGAGTCATAACTTAAGTGGGTATTAAAGAACTTGAAGTGTTCTCAGGTTCTGTCCTTCCCGCTATTGTTAGGTGCCCGCAGTGTTACTCCTGATACGTCAGCATGGAAACCGAAGGTGTCGTTTGCAGCTCAGATCAGGGCACTGATGTACACTAGTTGTGATCAAGCTACCAGGCTAGAAAATAACACCATAGTCACAGCATTGCTGCCTAAGTACATACAAAGGCTCTTACATAGCTAACCTATCCTACCACCCACGCTGCCAGGGTTACAATGTTAGTTTTAGTTTGCTAACTGTCCAAGTGGACTACCTGAGCTGAGAATTAAAGCTCCACTGCACATATACCTGCTACCCACCACTTGCACTAAGATAGGGCTAAGGGCTGAGGCTCTCAATCCATTCCCTGCTCTGGCTACTGGTACATTTAACTGAAGGTCTGCATGTGAGTCCACATGAGACTCTCCTATGCACTGGTGCAAGCCAATGAGGGAAGATGAGATCTGAAGCCCTGCCGTCCTCTCCCACTCTTCAGACACTGAGTAGAGGATGTGGCGCTGGAGACCCCACTCGGTACAGTTGGCTCCTCTCCCTTTGCCTACCTTGGTATCCAAACAGTCTCTGCAGCATCATTACCGAGGCCACATCTCCACTTTCCACACTGGAGATCGATCTTCTGGCATTCGATTTAGTGGATCTAATAAGGACCCGCTAAATAGAATGCTGAGGGAACCTCCGTTTGGTGTCGGAACGCCTCGATTCATGAGGAGTAAGAGAAGCTGATGGGAGTGTTTGCTCCCGTTGACCTCCTGCTGTGGAAATGGCGCCAAGCTCAGCTTATGGTACATTGAATCCAGCTATGTGTCCCTTAAGCCGACCTTCCAGGTCCAGTGCAGACCTAGCCTCAGAGGTGGAGTCCGCCACCCTCTCTGTCCAAGTTCCACCAGCACTGAGGCTAGTCAAGACACCGAGCTGGACAGAACTGAGACCACCGCTCAGACGAGCTAGCACCTGTTGGGCGGGGCTCTCCTATGTGCAGAGGATAGGAAGTGCATGAGACACTGAAAAGCTGTGCAGTCCCTGTGACCATGGAGCAATTCAGCTGCTCATGGCAAATTGGTGACAGTGTAGGCATTTCCACGGCAACAGGCTGTGTTGCCATAAACCCAGGAGCATGATATCAGAAGCTATAGCCTTAGAAGAAGCTGACAGGGCCAGGAGAGAGCGCTCACCTCTCAATACAAGTATCTACAGTAGCAAACAGCAATAACAGAGGAAGTTGCTTATTAAGTGACCTTCCTTCTGTAGAAATGAGCTTTTTTTCTTTCGAGTGTGGCTGTGTAAACCCACAAATAAATAAATGCTTTTCTGACTGTGTTCTGGGGCAGCCCATCAGTCTCTGGGGGAATGAGGGGAGGCAGGGCATGGCCAAACCACTGGGATGCTGGGAAGAAAGCACAGAGGCCGTAAGTACCTTTGAGGCTAATGTCCATTGGATTCAATGGAAATTAGACACCGAAACACGTTTGGTCACTAGGGAGATGTTGTGGCAGAATATTAGAAAGCTCAGGGTGGCTCATAGCAGGGTTTAAGGGAGCAAAGCCAGTGACTGACTGACCACTTTGTTTCGAAGGTTCATGAAGACCCCAGATGAGATTATGAGTGGCCGAACAGACCGCCTCGAGCACCTGGAGTCCCAGGAGCTGGATGAACAAATCTATCAGGAGGATGAGTGCTGAAAGAACCAACACTCTGTGGGAGAAATGTTGGCCCAGACGGCTGCAGGAGTTTGGGAGGGGGAACAAGAACACAGGAGCAGAATATGGGGTCAGTGCTTATCTTGAAGACCATGCAGGACCCGAAGCACCTTAGTAAAACACAAACAAACTGGCAGCAGTGGTGGCGGCAGCAAGGTGGCAGAGAGAGAGCCTGGCCTCATGCACTACTTTGTTGTCCCTACAGAGTCTTCCTTGACTCATTTTTATTTTCCTGTTGTTGATTTGTTTGTTTCATTCTTTCCTAATAAACATGCAGTTTGACTTTTCTTAATTCATATAGGACAAGATGCCACGATTTGCTTTTTCAAGTCATCTTTTGCTACAATCCTGGGACACCTTACCAGTGTATGTTGGGCTGGCAATTAACTGTTGGCACATGGACCAAATCACCTAAGTGCTCTGTGGAAGAAGGGAAAAATGACAAACAGGAACCATCTCTGACAAAACACAATAGACTGATGCTGGCTTTCACCCTTCCTCTAGCAGAGGAGCCTTTGAATAAAAGCAACACAGGGACAGTGTGGGCTTTCTTGTCCATGTCTTCTATCCAAGAGAAAGGGTTGAAATATTTGTAATTACAAGTAGCCATGATTTCCACAGCAGCTAGCAGTTTTGAGGGTGAAGGTGAAGGGTTCTTTTTATGCCTTGAGGGGAAGGAAAAAAGATGAAGACCCACAGTTGCTTATAATACTCAGAAGCCTCCCTAGGATCAGCCAGAACTGCTGGATAGAAAAGCGAAACCAGAAGCATGAAGATATGTGGAGGACAACCAGAGACCAAATAGCTATCCTGGTATCCTGAAACTGGTTGTTTGATGCCTCCAACTTCCTGCTCCATCCCTCCCAAATGCATCTCGACCAGCCAGAGATCACTCCGCCGCTTGCCCATTTTTTAGCATGGTTTTAAACAAAACAAGCAGCCTCCTTGTGTTCTCCTTTTAATGTTCAGACATTCTTGTTTTGGCAGCCCCAGTTTGGAATGCAGCCGATAGAGCAAGAGCAGCTTTGGCTGCTGCCTGCCACTATTGGAACAGAGAATCTGGCCTAGATGGCTGGCAAGGAAGGGGTGGCTCCTTTAATCTGCATGGACTTTTACGTCCCAGACTAGAGAAACTATTTCCCTTTGTAACATTGGTCACTCCCATTGGTGGTTTCAGGATAAGTGATGGACCCATCATCAGCCATCCCTTGTTAGTGAAGAAAAAAAATTAGCGGCAAAATATGCATTTGGGAAAGAAGAAGCTCCAAGTAAGTTTTCAACCAGGAGATTGGACTTTCTCTGCACTGTGATGTCCAAAGGAAAGGAAACCTGTGTCTGTTCATTAATAAAATCTCTTTTGTAGATCATAGAAATCTGAAATGGAAGAAATCAAGGGATCATTACCTCTGTCCCACCAAAAAGTCCAGATACAACACCTGATCTTCACCAAATATTTAAGACGAATGTTGCTTTCCAGAAAACTTTCCACTTAGTTAGGAGTGGTGCCCTGTATAGTTATGTAATTGTAGTCCAATTTCACTGCAAGGTGTGCTGAGTCACTTATGGTAGAGTGACAGGTTGGTTTTTTTTTTTTTTTTTGGTCTTTTTTAAATGGGCATAGAGTATCACATCATGGAATTAGAACAAAAACCCTTCCCAGTTGGCCTAAGATGAAGAAAGACTGTCAATACATCTTCCCTCCCAAGCTTTATGGAACTGTTTTTTCCATAATCTTAGTTTACACCACACTGGGCATTTGCCTTTTCTCTGCATCAAAGAACAGCAGCACCAAATACCAGCAAAAGAGAAGATTGCCATCGCGTCATTCCCTGATGTGGCTCTGAAAAGGATTCAGAGGGAGAGGTGCTGAGGAATTGAGGCTTTGTAGCCATGGACTTGAAACTGAAGGGAGAGGGAGCTGTTTTTGTTTGATTCGAGCTAAAGAATGTGGCTCTGTTCAAGGAGACAGGTGACAGTCCCTTCTCAGGAGCTGAGGCTCATGCTTAGATTATGAGAGCAAATACCCTTATGCTTTTGCTATAGCACACAGAGTTGGCAAACCTCTAACTAAGAAAACTCAAGACAAAAAGAAGGGAGACTGCAACTAAGAAATGGAGAGGGAAACATGAACAAGGTTGAAAGGAAATTCCTTATTCTTGTTTTCTTTTTGTGAAAATAGGAAGGAAGAGTTTGCTCTTTTATCTCGACCAATAGGTGTTGAGCATTCATGCCCTCTGCTTCTCCAACTTGTCATTATGGCATGGTTGGGACAAGGAGGAGGAGAATTCTTGTATTTAAGGGCTCTGCTAACCGGTGTTGATTTGTGTGTGCTGAAGAGTTTGCCAATTTGGTCCACACACCCCTGCCATTTGTGGTGGCAAACATGGTGAAACTTCCTCACCGTAAGGCTGGTAAGGAACCTTGAATACACATCCACTTGTCTCAGGCTGAAATTTAACAGAGAAGTTTTTGCCTTTGACAAAAGTTGGTAATTGATACCTGCAGGAACCAAGAAAGAATCTAGACTGCAACATTTTTGAGATAAGTTTTCTTTCTGGCGTTGGAAATTTTCTTGAGTCATACAACTATGGTGTGTGACGACCTCTCCCTCTGCCCCATTCCTCTTCAGAGTCCACTTCCTCCTTCACATCCTTCGTGAAGAATAGCTTTGCCAAGAAAAAAACACAGACAAACCAGTAAGAATAAAATAGTCTTTGGATTCCCAGCAGGTCCTTAGCATGGTGAACTTTTCAGGCAATAGTGTTCTGATTTTTCTATCAAGATCTAAATGGCTAAGGGAGGGAGTGTGAAAAGCTGGAGCGCATGACCAAACAGCCTGCCAGACTGTAGGGACTTGCAATATCTGAATTTGAGGTATCCTTAGGGATCTTGGGAGCAAGTCAGTTTGAAAAAAGACTTCTACAGCACCTGCAGGAAACAGATTCACTGCCCTCTTACAGAGAGATCCAAACATGGAAGCCATATGAAGTGTAGGTAAAACATGACTGAACTATCGATATTCGATAGATGGGAAATGGTCATGAGACTATCAACAAGAATTTTGCCCTTTTCACCTCCCTCCACCCCTGAATTCCAAGTGTAGGATTTGCCCATCTGCCACGTAGCCATACTTTCTGCTCACTTCCCCAAGGGAAGCAGGAAAGGGGAGAAAGATTCTAAGGAGTCCCTTAATCATTGGGAGATGGGCCTTTTCTTCAACTAGTGTGGTTACAAAGAGCCCTCCCCTGCCATCAACATGCTATACATCTAAGCAAGCCAGATCCTTCTGCAAACAGAAGGGGCGGGGGGCAATGCTGCTTGGGCAGGACAGAGATAATAGGTCTGTAAGCCAATAAGGAAACCTTCTTGCAGTTGCAGTCTTAAACCTTGTGAGGACTATCCATTGAGAAAACACTATTAGGGCCACCTGCATAAACACTAAGTAATGGCAACCACCCCTGATCTCAGACAAATACCGAGCATGCATTCTTCATGATTTCTCTTTATATGACTGCAACCATGTGCAAATCCAGAATGCATTTTTAAAATGAATTCTAGTCTGTTTTTATTAATGGCTTTTTAAAAAAAAAAAAAAAAAAAGTAAGGTGTGGGGTTAAGGGACTGAATCAAATGAATGTAAAAAAAGAAAACAAACAAAAGCCTATTCTCAGGGCCAGTGAGTTGCAAATAATTTTTAAAAATGCCTGTAATTACATCATCTCAATAAAAAAATTTTAATATAAAAATAAGAATGCCAAGTTTGTGGATCCAATCCTTGCGATTTTGAGCTAGTATAATTCCGCTGTGTTGCAACTTTGAGCTAGTACAGTTCCGCTGTGTTGCAACTGCTTTTCCACCAGGGGAATATACACAGAATGCTGCAGCCGTTTTCAATCACGAAAAGAGCAGGCTTGCCATTGCCAAACCCATGTGGCAAGAGGCTGATCCTTCATGCTTCCTTTGGTTTGAATTTGAATCCAATCCCTCAGAGCATTCACACTTTGCCCTTACTTAATAACGGATCCCACCCTGCATGTTCATGGAGCAACGTTTTCCTGTGCCGCTATGTAGAAGGCCTAGAGAAGGAACAGGCTAAAGTAACATCAGGAATCTTCTTTTCAGCCTTTTTCAAGAACACAGATCAACAGTTAAACAGCACATGAAGCAGTCTGGGGATGACAATTTGGCCTACGTATTGTTGAAGTCCACACAAAAAACCCCAGCAGTCAGCGGATCTAGGACCATAACAGCTAATGTTCTGCACGTTTACCACGTGGTGAACCCATTCCCCACTGGAGTCTCTTGGTCGGACTAAGGCAGTGTTTCTCAACCAGTGGTACAAGTTCCCTTAAGGGTACTTGAGAGAAGTCTGGGAGGGGGGGAGAGTACGTCAACACAACTGAAATTTGGAGAAAACTGATTTTTTGTTTTAAGTTTTACAGCGCTTTCCTATTTTTCTACTTTTTACACCCAAAAATGTTATTGCCCACCCAGCTACAATTAAATTGTTTAAACAAATGTGTTGCAATGGTAGAAAAAAATTGTGTGTGCCTGAAAACTATAGATACTGAGGGGAATTAAATTTTTGTAAAGGGGTACTTTATTTAAAAAAAAAGGTTGAGAAACACTGGGTGCTATGAAGGCAAAGTTCAGTTCTCTCTGGCAGAAAGGCACCTCCATTTCACTGGGCCACTATTACTCTCCTTGGTGATATATGTTCTATTTAGGGATGTAATAGTACAGTCAATTATCCAATTAACCAATAAGCAAAAGCTTATAGGTTAATGCTATATACTACACGCATTCCCCTCCCCCTCCCAACCAGTACATTTTTTAGCAGGCTGGCCAGCAGCCCAGCTCAGTTCTGGCTCAACCTGGGTTTGGGACCTACCCCTGCTGTGGCTCTGCATTTAAAATGTATTAGGAACCGGGCAGGCAGGCAGCCCAGCTCAGTCCCAGTTCACGCTGGGTCTGGGAGCTCAGACCCCCCACCCTCCCCCCGCCAGACAGGGACTGCCACCACCCCACAGTGCTGCCTCTTTATCAGAGGCAGCAGCACAGGGCAACAAGCAACCAGTCTGCAAGAGGAGCTGGTTTTTTTAACTGTCTCCCATCACGAACTAGCTCCTGCCTGGCATCCTGCCCCCAGGGACTGTAGAACAGTCGACTAATCGATAAGAATTCATGAGGTTACCCGACTCTTCAATTAACCGATATTTAACATCCCTAGTTCTATTGCTATTCAGCTTCAAGTCACGGCACTGTCTCCTCACAAGCAGCTCCTTGCAGGTCAGTGACACTCTGCTGTGGCCTGCCTCAGACTCTCCTCTTTAATGGGGTAAAAAATGAGGTCACACAAACAGGGAGAAGCAGAACACAGACATCACGACATCAAGGAGAAGCAGAACACATGACAGTCATCTCCCTTACTTTAATACAGCCTTTCAAAAGAGAGACAGGCCCATGGGCTTCAAGGCTCTGACCTCAAAGTTCAGCTAAAATGCCAACGTCCCCAAACAAATGGCTTCTAGGTTCCACCAGCGGCAACTTTTAATGTAAAGGCCTCAGGCTTCTGCAGAGCCCGGAGAGCTCTGCAATCTTTCCCCACTTCCTCTGCTCAGGTTATTCAAGGAGTCTCCCAGGTCTCCTTACCCAGAAAGCTTCGGCCTAGTTGAGCCTCCTTAGACATGTCCCTGCCTTGGAACTTCCTTTCTCCTCAGGAGCTTTTCTCCAACTTCTGATGCTGCCCATAAGCACCCCGACTTTCACAACACACCAACAATCAAATGGATCCCTTTACAAAACAAGGCCAAAAGGTTTATCAGCTGAACTCGCTATGTGACAGGATCCCCCCCAGTGTGCAGTCTGGGATTGTGGTAGGTCTGCTGTGCAGCCCTGAACTCTCCCCACTTGCCACTGCTTGCCTCCTCCCCTTACTGGGAGCTAATAAAAAAAATGAAGCAGCAGCAGCAACACGGTGCCAGCCAAAAGCTAGCCAACACACATCGCCAATTAAGCCTGCAACAAGCCAAATTTGTTGGCCTGTTTCCTTCAGTGGAGCCAATCACAAACTAAGCTTCTGAGTCCTTGAAGAGGCAGGTCTGTGATGCAGCCCTAAACTGTCCATGTAACCTCAGGGCACATCACCATCAGTAAAATGGTTCTTGCATGCCTGCTGAAGGATTATTCATTAATGTTCTCAAAGGGCTTCACTGGCTCGCTGCTAGCTTTGATGTCACAGCAGGTTCCTTTGAGCCTGGTGCTTTCTGGAGAGGCCAGCAGATGTTAAGATACATTTGAGCTGCAAAGCTTTTCAAGGCTGAGCATTACCCACATATCCTGCCTAACAGTTATAATCTGATGTGGAGTGACAGCCAACATATAACTCTCCGCATAGACTGTTCATAGTTGGTTTTTTAAAGTTTTGGCAAAAAATGCACCTCCCAAAGTAGGGACCCTGCCCCAGGGAGTCTCTAAGCTGCGCCATGCTTCTGGACTCAGGGGCTGTTTTCTTGCTTTTTAGCCAAGAAGCAAATTAATCTGCGCATTAACACAAATGCTGGCGTTCCAGGCATTTGGAACAGTGGTATGTGCAGCAATTTGGGGATTCTGATTATGTTTTTGGAATGGGAAGGAGATTTTCAGTGATTTGGAGTCACAATTAGTGTAAGGACCAAAAGTTCTTCCTTTCTCAGAGAGCTTAGGCCCAGAGTCTCGCTGAGAGTTCGGTGCCCAACTCCCATAGATTGCAAAGGGAACTAGGCATCTAACTATCTTTCAGGATCTGGTCTCAGTGCATCTCCCTCTGAACATCACAGTCCAGAACAGGAGTACGCACTCAGCAGCTTTACTTGGCATTTATAAATGGCTGGTGGAAGGTACCAACCTGAGACCTTGGGGCTCTGAAGTCATCTGCCTATTTGCAAAACAAGTATCACATGAATTACCTGTCTGGAATCTCCCCTTTCTCACCCCACCCCACCGCACCTACCATTGCCCAGTTCTGACAGAAGGGACCAATATAGGCTCTAGAAGAGTGGTCAGTCTCCATGCCCACCAAGTGTTAGTGTCTCCATAGAGCCTGCCAGAGAGGGGGGCAATTATAAGGGTGTTTTTTATTATGTGGACACAAGTATTTCAGAGGGGGATTTTTTTCCAACATGCTCAAATGGAGATTTGGCAGACAAACCATCCGCTTCCAAGCAAACTATCTCCTTGGAGATTTATATAGATTCAGGCTGTTTTTATTTCAGCTTTAAATCCAAAGCTTGTCTCAGTAACCACAAAAAGAAATCACCTAGGAAGTGCGTGATTGAATTGGAAGATAACTCACATTTCCCCAGGTGCTAGACGCCACAGAAGGGGAAAGCATTACTGTCTGCAGTGAATGACCTCTCCAGTAAGATGCATGAACAGTCTGATATTATAATGTCCCATACCTTGCTAAATCTAGCCCTTTCCTGTGTTGCAACACCATTTGGTATCCCAGGGTATGTCTACACTATCCCGCTAGTTCGAACTAGCGGGGTAATGTAGGCATACCGCACTTGCAAATGAAGCCCGGGATTTGAATTTCCCGGGCTTCATTTGCATAAGCCGGCCGGTGCCATTTTCAAATGCCGGCTTGTTCGAACCCCGTGCCGCGCGGCTACACGTGGCACGGGCTATATAGTTTGAACTAGCAAGCCATTCCGCACTATCTGTACGCCTCGTTCCATGAACGAAATGAAGCCCGGGAAATTCAAATCCCGGGCTTCATTTGCAAGTGCGGTATGCCTACATTACCCCGCTAGTTCGAACTAGTGGGGTAGTGTAGACATACCCCCTGTGCTGTACTCCCACTCACCCTACCAGTATGTGTAACCCTAATGTGCAGCACTGGGTGCTTGTTCATGTTCACACCCTCACAGCACTGCCAGTCTGCTCCTATCTTAAGTTAGAAATATCCCCACTGATGTAGTCCAGGCCTGCCCCACACCTGGGGGTTATCAGATAAACAAACATTTTCAATAATGGGAGGACTGAACCATCACACGCTTTTTCACTGTTGGTCTCAGAGCTGTTTAAACACGGCTCATCCCTGCTGTGTCCAACCTACAGAAAGATCTATTAAGGGAGCCATTGTGGCATTACCACTGTGTGTCAGCAAGTCCTAGCCCAAATAATTCCTTTCCTAGTTTAAAGTTAGATAGTGTGCCGTGTGGCAAGGGACCCTCTTACCTAGACTGGTCTCTCGCTCCTAACCCCAGAGTTTGGGGTTCACAGAGGATCTCTGAGGTAGGGAACCTAGCCACGCCTCCTCAGACACCCTCCCTAGCTGGCTCCACTTAATGCTGTTGTGGGTTTGTGTTCTCGTTCATTCATTCGTTCGTGTTCTCTCTCTCTCGCTCGTCTTCTCCCAGCTTCTAACTGCTGAGGCTTTTAAAGGCCCTCATTCAACCAGCAGAGGAGTCAGCTGGCCCCAATCAGCCTGAGCCAGCTCCCTCCCAGCTGCATCTAATTGGCCTGCAGCCCTCTGCTTCTACTTACAGGGGCTATGTCTACTGGCGCATTTTCACGCAAAAACTCTTTTGCGGAAGAGTTCTTCTACAAAAACGCTTCCAGAAGAGAGCGTCTACACTGGCATGTGCTTTTGCACAAGAGCATCCATGACAGTGTAGATTTTAACCATCGGGCTTTCTTGCACAAGACATTCATGTTGCCTGTCTACACTGGCCTCTTCTGGAAGAGCTCTTGTGCAAGAGGGTATTATT